CGTCATCTAGAGGGAGATGAGAAACTAGAAGCCGCCGCCGTGGCCCATCACGCCCGCGGCAACACGTTCCTCGCGCGCATCCTCGCGCTCTTCTTCCTCGACAGCTCGCCAACCTCCCCGCTCAACCATCTATATCTATCCTCGCCGCCCATCCATCCATAAACCCAGAGCATTTATATCTCCCGCCCCAGGAACATGTCAACGCTGAGATTTATTAGTCTAAGCGCTCCGAGTCCATAATATTTTTCTTCTCTTTTGAGCTCAATAAAAATTCTCTTCCAGCACGTGACCTAACCCAAATCCCATCAGAGCGTGATGGCGTGCGTTTGTACTGTTGATCTTTACTTTATACTTACATAAAACGCAGCGAAAGCCTTTTTCGATATATCTCATCGGGCCAGTTCTAATCCGGTTTACGTACGTACTAGAAAAAGTTTTTTATGTGTAATGTGATTAGGATAATGTGTCCTATCAAGGCCCGGACCCATGAGTCAGCCTCTGTTCTGCCCCGGCACGTGGTCGGCTCGGAACTGGGGACACGCACCATATAAGCACGCCCCACGGCCTCCGACGAACGCCGTGCCTGCCCCAAACTCAAACTCCCACCGCCAGCCGCTCTCCTCTCCTCGCGCCGGCCACGATTGAGCATGGACGCAGCCGCTTGCTACACACATGGCGACGATGACCACGATGAAGACGGCGTTGCATATTTGATGAAGATTTTGTCCCTTTAGTCAATGATTTTTAGGTCCACCAATTGACTCCGTAAAAAGTGTTTATCGAGTCTACCCACTTTATCAAGTCTGCTAACATTGACAAAAACTCAAAGTTATATATTTAAGAGCAAGTACAATAGCAGGTTTATAGCCCGCTTACATGGCAATTTTGCCTATATGGAGTAGAGAAACATGAAAAAGTAAGTCCAGCGAGGGTTCTCATGCAAGAGTCTAGCTATATGTGTGCTTCAAGGCAGATTCAATAAATGTGAATAAAGAGATAGGGAGAAGATGAGAAAAAAATTACTAATCCTATATAGTCAATCTTATAGCCAACCTTATAGTTAACCTTGTTGTATGAGTGACTATATACGTTGGCTATAGACGATATGGCAACATCTTATAACCAACAGTTGACTGTATTATTACCATGTTCTAAGTAGAACTAACATTAGTAATAGTACTAACTTCCATAAAGGTTTGTCGAGGTATTTCCATCGGCCTAGAATATTCTACCAAGATAATTGGATATCTCGGTGCAACTATGTATAAACACAAATATAAAACATTAGATCTCATTAATTCGTTTATCAATGAATGCAATTTTATTAGATTTCTAAGATTTAAATTAAATAAGATTTCTTAAATATCTTATATTACAATTACCAGGAACAAATATTTGTTAGTGTAGCACAGGAAAGTGTTTAGTGTCAACTATCATGTTACTTAACCACCAAGTGATCTTAATTCAAGTCGATATAACAGAAATAGTAGTAAATATTATATTGAATCTTGTGTCAATAAACAAGAGACACTTATTTACTGTTAGTATAAATGATGATAAAAGTAAAAAATTTAACATAAATATTGAATTGACATAAGTTTTACATAATCTTCTACATGTCTAAATTTGGAAAAAAGTGTCTCAGAATACCAAGTTATTACGGCGGATCATGAGCGTGACGGGATAGATAGGAGAAGCCGGAGAGGGATTTGCAAAAAATAAACAAAATAAGCACAACATGTCGAGGATATACTTGTAACTAGAAAAAAAATTCAAGACTAGTGGCATTTCGAGGGTGCATTTGTAATATATATAATATGTAACCAGCAACACAACCATTTATATTGCATCTTGCCACGCAAAAAAATAATTTAAATTCACACAAACACAAAAAATAATTTGAAGAACGCTCTCTAAATAAACACTATTTGCATGCGTTCTTTACCAACAAATCTTTTTTAAGTGAAAAGTAGAAGAAAAAGAGACAAGACGTCAGAAATAGACACATCCCAAAAAAAACCAAACACAAATGGCCTACTTAGAGAATGACGCAAAAACGCACAACGGTTGTGCGAGCCAAACGGTCACACCAGACGAGTATGTGCTTAGGAAAACATGAATTTCCTAAAAAGGGAAAAAGAAAAGAAAAGTATAAATCTTGGAGCTTCAGAATCAGATGGTACGAAATTTAGATTAGAGATAAATATTTTTCAGTTAGATGAGAATTAACAAATCCCATAATTCACATAATTTTATTTCATGCAAAAATTCAGCAAGATTTATTGTAATCAGACTGAAGGTTTTATGTACGTAGATAACATATTGTCTGATGGCTAATATAGTTTTTTTAGGGGAACATGCAACTATATCTGAATATAGGAATTTATTTATTTTGGTGTTGATGGATTTGGGTTACCCATGCATTGTCATGTGTTGTTAAGCCCCGCTCCTCCGGCAATGGATGTGAAATGTCAAACTGAGCGGAGTAAAATATATTGTTGCGTCTCCTTTAGTTGTGATGAGATAGTGAATATTTTTTGGAAAAAATGCAATAAGTGATCGTAGAAATCGTGTGGTACAAAAAAATACAACCGAGAAAATTTCTAATTACAACTTATAACCTGATGAATTGCAATTTTCAACCAAGAGAAAAAAATCAAAAGATAAAAAGGTGGTTCGTTGGAGTAAAAACAAATTCACAACTTCAAATTTTACCTCTTGCCTCTCCATATGAACAACACAAACATAGATAGAAAATGAAAAAATGTGTTCGTTGGAGTAGGCCACGGGGCACAAGCGGGCTAGGTTTGTAGTGTCCTGTTATCCTTCTACCCGTTGGAAGCGGGTAGTTGTAGTTGCTCTATGAAGTTAGCCTCTCGATGTGCCCGCCACATTGTGGACCGTGAGTCCATGAGGCCTAGGTTTCACATGGGGCCCAGACGGTCTGCTATAGAACTTGGAATGGGTGGGGCCAACAGAAGCACAACGGAACCCAGCCCACAAAGTCCATATGTCGTAATTGTTGGGGAGCACGCCGAAACACTTCACTAGGACACTTAAAAATTTGAACCCCAGTACTCAGCGATCGTTAGATTTGGGGCGGGCATGAGGAGCTCGATCTAGTAAACGATTTCGTTCACTTTGGGGAGGTTGCATCGAGCGAACCATTGCACGAAATCACTAATTAAGTGGTACCCCTTGCAAAAGTCACTCTCACCTTCTCCGATAATGACAAGCCGTGCATTGCATGTGTGCCACTTGTTGTGACCTGGGAGTTTTCGCTTTTTCGTAGATTCAGTTTTTAAAAATGTTTTATTTCTTGAACTGTGTGTCCAACTCACGAACCGTTTTCATCTTTGATTTCTCGCATCAAGATCTCTGGAAGTAGATCCCATGTTAATAGATTTCGAAAACTTATTTTTTTCAAAAAAATCCAGAAATCAAAAAAACCAATAACTGAAACCAAAAAAAAATAATATCCCCCCAGAAAGAAAAAAGAAACATGAATCATAGTTGTGCTTTTTCACTTTTGTATAGGAAGGACAGTTGTGCTTTTCTCTTTTTGGGAGTTGTTCTCGTAGATGGACATGTTGTTCTTTTCCGTTTTTGATATGCAAAGTTGTGCTTCTCGTGAAAACATACACTGTAGTTTTTCCTTTTACAAGAAGCACAACTATGTTCTTTTTCGGGAAGCACATATGTGCTTCTCATGCATGCATGTTCGGTGTTTTTATTTTCCTTTTCGAGAAAGCACATACACGCTTTTGGTGAAACCACATATATACTTGCTTCTGATGAAAGTATGTCTGTGCTTTTTCCTTTTTTGAAAGCATAGTTGTGCTTCACGAAAAAAACACCACTTACCAAATAACAATTATTGTTTCACCACAACCTAATAAAAACTAGACAAAAACCAAAAAAAAAACAAGACCAAGAAACATGTGGAAAAAATCCCAAGCGTGCGCCAGCGCATGAGATTTCGTTTTGGGGTGGGTAGATCTCGGATGACCGATACTTAATTAAGTCTGAGTGAAGTGACACAACATATACCATAAAATAAGAAAGGGAAAATTAAAAAAATGCACAAACTTTCATGTAAAATCTCACGAATATAGCATCGACTGATACTTTTGACTGAGATTTAGCAATCCCGTTTTGTTTCTGGGACGCCTAAACTTTCCAAACGGTTTTGTGTGGGTTCCGATTACTCCAACTCCAACCAACCATTTTAACCATCATCACACACACACGCACGTGTGTTGCCACCTGGTCCACGGCCCGTGTGACAGTTCGTGGTCCGTCGTGAATAAAATCGTAGCCGGCAATCGTGCCTTGTGGTGCGGACCGCGTTGACGTACGCCTCCTTGTGCGTCTTCCTCACATTGGTCTCTGCCTCGCCCGAATTGAGTACACGAGTGAGCCTGAGCCAGTGGTTGCCCAGCCTACAGACTAAGATCTGCTCTGCAGGGCCCGCCCGCCCGCCTAATTAACCCCACTGCCGCTTGCTCGCCGGCGAGCTACCCTACCCGGTGGCCGCCGGCTGCCCACGAAACCTCAGCGGGCCCACACTATGCATATCTCCAAGTTTCTTTTGAGCTTTCGCTGCCGTACGACCTGCCAAGCAAAACCAAAGTCGATCTGGATGGCACAGTGGAGGCGATGAGTCAAAGGTCAAAGCCCCCCGGTGCGTCATCTAGAGGAAGACGAGAAACCAGAAGCCGCCGCCGTGGCCCATCACCCCGCGGCAACACGTCCTCGCGCCATCCTCTTCTTCCCCGACAGCTCGCCAAACTCCCAACCATCTATCTATCCGCGCCGTCCATCCCGGCCCGTGCGCTGCCACAACCTCTTTCCAGGGTCCACTCGGAGCTGCGGACGCGCGCCATATAAGCACGCCCCGCGGCCTCCGAGAACGCCGTGCCCGCCCCGACCTCAGACTCCCGTCGCCAGCCGCTCTCCTCCCCTCTCCTCCCCTCGCGCCGGCCACGATCGAGGCACACATGGCGACGATGACGACCACGACCACGACGAAGACGGCGCTGCGCCACCGCGGGTGCTGCGGGCACGCGCCGGCGCCGGAGTCGGAGGAGGACGGCCGCGACCTGGTGGCGCTGTCGAGCGCGGCGGCGGAGGGACTGGGGAAGGAGGCTGCCAGGTGGGCCGGCGGGCTGCCGCGGCTGAAGCGGTTCGAGGAGCTGCCGGACTACCTCCGCGACAACGAGTTCATCCGCGGCGGCTACCGCTGCGAGTGGTCCGTCCGCGACGCGCTCCGCAGCGTCTTCGCCTGGCACAACGAGACGCTCAACGTCTGGACGTATGTATTCCCCTCTCTTCATCCTCTGCTTCTTGTTTCCTGCATTGTGTTTCTAGTTCATGTTCCACTGCTTGCGATCTGACTCCGGTTGTTGACGCAGCCATCTGGGGGGCTTCTTCCTGTTCCTGGGCCTCGCTGTCGCCGGCCAGACGGAGTGGCGGCCGGCCGGAGCAGCCGCGGCGCCGGGGTTCATGACGATGGTGATGACGTCGGCCAACGCGTCGTCGTTGGCGACCAACAACAGTTCGGTAAGAAAACGAAAACTCTGTCCTCACTCGACGACTAATCCTCCCGCATCTTCACTATAGTTTTTCTTCTTCTTTGTTGAGATCGCATCTCAGTAGTTGGGTCAGAACAGACTACGATTAATTCTAGTACTAATCGACTCGTATCTTTACTCGCTGGGTCGTCGCTGCACGATGGAGTAGCAATATAAATTATAAACTGAGGAGAATTCTTCAACCCTACCTGCTCTGTTCCTCCATGAAATCCAAGTGGAGTAGCATCATAAACTGGCCCAAAAATAATTAGCTGGACACCTTAGCTATACACACAGTTGGGCATGCTCTGTATCGACAACGAAACTAACTTAGGTGAGCAGGCACACACTGATCGATCGAGCTGGACGGCAGCTGTGTGTCGGAGGGAGGTTGTGGCGGTTAATTAACGAACCGCATTATCTGGTCCTAGACTAATCAGAGCTTATCTGTCTGAAATCCGATGAGTCCAACGACCGGCAGCCGCAACGACTGATCAGAAATTGAACTTGTCGTGCCAGCTACAATGTAGTTGTAGTAGTATACTGCCGATTCTTATGGTTAATTCTGTTTTGGTTCGAGCAGAGCATGGCGATCCAGAGCGCGTTGGCGTCGGGCATGGGCGGCGCGGGGCACGCGGTGGCGCGGTGGCCGCGGACGGTGTTCGTGTCGGGGGCCATGACGTGCCTGTCGGTGAGCGCGGCGGCGCACCTGCTGGCGAGCCACTCGCGCCGCTTCAACCGGCTCTTCTGGCAGCTCGATTACGCCGGCATCGCCGTCATGATCGTCGCCTCCTTCTTCCCGCCGGTCTACTACACCTTCCTCGGCAGCCCCGCAGCGCAGCTCGCCTACCTCTCGGCCATCACGCTCCTCGGCGTGCTCGTCGTGGCGGCGCTCCTGGTGCCCGCGCGCTCGTCGCCGCGGCTCCGGCACCTCCGCGCGGGCCTGTTCGTGTCCATGGGGCTCTCGGGCGTCGTGCCGGCGCTGCACGCGCTCTGGCTCAACTGGGGCCACCCGGAGTGCTACATGGCGCTGTCGCTGGAGCTGGCCATGGGGCTCGTGTACGCCACGGGCGCCGGGTTCTACGTCGCGCGCGTGCCGGAGCGGTGGCGCCCCGGCATGTTCGACTGCGTCGGGCACAGCCACCAGATCTTCCACGTGCTGGTGCTCGTCGGCGCCGTCACGCACTACGCCGCCACCGCCATCCTCATCGGCTGGCGCGACGCCCTGGCCGCGGCCGCGTCGGCGCTCTTGTGACGCCGCGCGTCGTAGGATGCGATATTCATTATTCATGTATTCGTTGATTCGTGTACCTAGCTTAGATGATTCTTTGAACGTGTATCAGATGATGTTTGTGCTCTTGCCGTCTTACTGTCAGTCTGTACTCTGTATTTCTGTAATGCTGTATGGTGTACAGCAACTGAGCTGCAACAGGAAAAGGGACGAGCACTACGATTTTTTAATACTTGTATATGAATTCTCTGTTTCTTTTGGCTACGAACACTAATGGTGTAATGCAAATTTATGGCTAAATCATAGTTCATATCTGAATCTGTGCCTGCCTATAGAATAGCACCCACAAGCAGGATGCATGAACAATGTCATATGGACATTGACACTGTGGTCCTTTTATGCGAGGTTTGTAGTTCATTGACCGTAAATGTTCAACTTCATGTTCATGTTTGGAGATATTTTGAATGAATTTTGCCAAACTCATCGTAGACGGTCGACCGTTTGAAATTTCCTTTAACGAGTAGTTTCATCTCACAATTTCACGCTAGGGTGCTATATTTTGTTACCTTGAATGTTGGGTGCGTGTTCATGTTAGGTTGCTTCATAAAAGTAATTGGTGATGTGTTCTGTTTGTGCTTAGCTGAGTTATACTTTGCTTTTTACTGTACTTATCGTTTCCCCTAGGGTTTGGCTAGACACCTATTCCCCTAGGGTTTCCTAGGGTCCACCCCTTCCTTCGGCGGCGCCGCCAAAGTCCACCAATTTCTCACGTCAGATCGTCAGAGATCGTTGTTTCCCCATCGTTGTCCGGTGGGTCGAGGCCGACTAACCCCAATTTCGCGAGTGCATGGCGGATCAAGGCAGTCCAAGGGGCGAGGAAGGCAAGAAGGGAGTTGCAGGAGAGGAGGTCTTGCGATGTGTGAAGGGGTCGGGAGGCGGGCTGGAGCCGCCAGGTCCGTCCGTGGCGGAAGGAGATGTAGACGAGGGGATCACAAAAACCGCGAAGCCAGATCGGGAAGATGCAGATGAAACATACTGGGACCATTATGGACAAGATTCGAATCTTGAAGATGCTTTTGAAGGACTGAATCTGTATGGCGAGGAGGAAGATCTTGATCTATCATGAGAGGTGGATGAATTGATCAAAGAGGTTCGTTGGCCAGCGTTGTTTAGGGTTCGCACTATGCATCCGCTTAGCCACGCTGCCCTACTGAACTCGATGAGGAACGCGTGGGTGTGCGCGCAAGGGGTGACTTTCAATAGTATCACCTTGATTCTTTGCACGAGATTACACCAATTTATATATACTTGTAAATTGCTTGAAAATCGGCAAGCTACTTCATGAACCAAAGAACAAAGGGAGCAATGGAATTAACTCTACAAATAGTGTTAATGGCTGCACGTGCCAATAAAAAGAGAGAAAGACATGATAAAAGAGGTGACATGGACACATGTTAATGTTAAATGTATTTGTGGGCTAGCATGGTTGATTCGCTCTAATTAGTATTGGATTTGAGTGACTGGTCACTTCCATATGAATTAAGCGGGCTTGTAAGTAACATTATATTTCGGGATTGTTGCTACGAGAGAGGCCTTGTAATTAATGAATTAATCCTTGCCAAGTTCATCAATCTTGCGTTAGTAGTTCACTTTTTAAGACTTTGGTGATTCGTGAGATAATCCCAATAAGGCCTCGTTTGGTAGAGGTGGATTGGGGAGGTTTGAGGAGGGGGGGAATTCAGGGGATTTGGTGAATCCCTTCCTTCCAGCCAATCCCCTCAAAACCCCTTGACTCCCCAAAACCCCTCCTTCCACAATTCTATTTGTTTAAAATTTCTGTTTGATAGAGAGGGTTTGTCATATATTGACATAACATGGTGTAGAACATTTAAAAGTCCAATCTTTCGCAACAACAACAGTTCATCACATGCACAACATAATTTTGCAACACAAGTACTTCTAGAATAGCTCAAGATTAGTTATACTTTTGGAGACAAATATATCCATCTTTTGGTGTCATGATCATCTAGCTATGAGAACCTGAGAGAAATTTATCCATCCACCTTGTTTATTATTGCTTCTTTTGGTGCTTGAGAACCTGACGAAACAAAGAGAGATGAATATTAGAGTGCCTTCAGAAAAACTGTTACAGCAAATAGCTTTGCTAGATGAACATTAATTCTATTTACAAAGGGAATAATACATATGAAAGCATACTAGTAGATGCAAAACGAGCATCTACAATCATTGAAAACAATACCGAACAAGCATCAGCAAGTTCAGAGTCGTTGTCTGCCATGATTTACATAGAGAACACGAGCTTGCTACAAAGTAGCATATCTCAATGTTTTGGTAACTCTACTCGATTGGATGTCTCGCTACAAGGATTCAAGTAAGTCTGTTCCTATCTCAGTTGACACCATTGAGATACTAGTTGACTGATACTATTTGCTTATGGACTCCATTGACTCCTACACATTCACAAACCAGAACAAGAGAGCACAGGAGCACTTTTTTCTGCACCTAATGCAACTACAAGAAACAATCTGGATGATTCAGGAATCTGAAACATTGCATTAATACGGAACCTCAATGTGAGACAAATCATCACTCAGTGTTCTTACAACCAACAAGCGCCAAGCAAAGCTAATTGCTAATGGATGGCAATGCTAATTACTACCATAACAGGAACAAGCCATGGCAAACAAATCGACGGTTGCTCTTATCCTCAGTACCTCGATTATATGACAGTGCCATAGGTCAGCGATTCACAGCAACAAGAGACAATTAAGACAAGGGCTGCAGAACACTGGGTTCTGCACAAACTGATGAAACAAAAATCTATACGCGATGGGCCAGGAATTTTAAGCACAATCACATAGCTGAGATAAGTTCGAAAAAATAAGCATTAATTAAATCACAGCTGAAATCAGTAAATATATAAGAAGCAACAACACAAGAATGTTTTCTAGATCTTCATTTGCCAAAAAAAATCACCGGACATAATTCAGTTCTTGCAACCGACGAGCCAACGAAACATTGGCGCAATTCCGCAGTCCGGATCCAGAATTACCACCACCACTACTACTTGCAGATAACCAAAGTTGACAGTCAACAACTAAACCAACAGTAATTTGCTACTAGAAACAACCAACACAATCTAAGAGGAGGTGAACTTGGTGACGGCCTTGATGCCCTCGGAGACGGCGTGCTTGGCGAACTCTCCGCGGAGGACAAGGTGGCAGCCATGGCCGGGCGGATGGAAAAAACCTAGACGACAACCGGAAAGGAGGGGAGGTGGGGTGAGCGAAGGCGAGGACTTACAGCCTGGAAGAAATTGGCGTCAAGGCGTCGGGCGGAGGAGGTATGCCGGCGTCGAGGCGTCAGGCGATGGCGTCTTGAAGAGGAGTCGGACGGCGGTGTGTTGAGCTAGCGGCGGCAGCGTGTCTGCTCCAAATCCCCGAGTCCCTCCTCGAGGGCTGAGAACCGCGTGGAAAGGAGGGGATCGGAGGGGGTTCGGACGGGTTGGGACTTGGAAACCCCGCGTGCCAAATGGTGTCTCGGGCTTTTGCGAGGTTTCTGGGCCACGCGAGGAAGATCTGCTGAAAACCAACTCGATCCACCTCTACCATATGAGGCCTAAAGGGAGGGAGTAGTTTTCAACTGGTGCACATTTTTTACTAGACCTCAGCCTACGTCTTTCTATTGCCGTCAGGTGGCACGGTGGGAATATTGTTGTGTCGCATTGATATACGTCTCGGTGGAGATGTCAACTACTTCTCTCGTTGCAATGCACGGGTATATATGCTATTTTTTTTTAAAGAACGCCGATAACTTCAACACGTGTGGCACAATGAATACTCGACCACACGACTCATATGGTCGTACTCAGGAGACAACCCACGCGACTTTGTGCGGGTGAACATTAAAACTGCACAAACGACCTTGCGTGGGCGAACATTAAAACTGCCCATACGTTTGGGCGCAGCTAAACGGCCCACGCGACCCTGTGTGGCAACTGCTCACCCCCACACCGTGAGCGCGAACGCGTGTGTAATCAATTTTAGTTGCCATTTGTAATTAATTGTAGTTGCCATGTATCATTAAGAGGTCTTTTAACATGCTCCCTCTTACCCCCTCTTTTTATATGAGAGGTAAGAGTATATAATATATATGAGCCGTTGATTGTATCAAGTAGTGAGTTTGATTAAGTCTTACCTTCTTACATTTTATATGAAAAGAGGGGGTAAGAGAGAGCATCTTAAAATTGCTTCATTAAATATAGTACCATGTGTAACTAATTGAAGTAGCCACGTGTGGTCAAATCATAGTTGCTATGTATGATTAACCATAGTTGCCATGTGTGATTAACTAGTTGTCACATATGCACACCTGTAGTTGTCGTGTGTGGTTAAACCATAGTTGTCATGTATGGTCAACCATAATTGATGTGTGCGATTAACTAGTTGCCACATATGCACACATGCAGTTGCCATGTATCACCATGTGAGCGTTATGTGGGCGAAGAGCAGTTTCACCCACATGTTCAGAAGAGGGTCGTTCGGGCGAGGAGCAACCACACGTGTGGCACTAAATGATAACACCCACACGACGCTGGGTGCTTACATGGCTCTTCACCCAGATGTCAATTGCTTTAAAATTCATGCAAATGAATCAAACGGCATCAAGCACGTGTGGGCTTGTTGATAAGTGCCACACGTGTGGACGTTATCATTTAAGAAAAAGAATGCATCTCTACCAAATACTAGATGAATGAATGGTTCCCATTTCCACATGAATAACATAAAACATGACAATTCCTCTAAAGAAGAATAATGTTAATTCATTTATAAGGCCATGTTGACGAAGGCATACACGATTTATAATTATGTTTTGGATCCAGACAGGAATCGTATAAAAATCATGAAATCTCTAATACAAATTACGAAATTGCACAGACCACAGAGCACAGCAAAAATCCAGGGAAATGATAGATTTGTTTTCTAAAAAAGGATATAACTATT